GGACGTAGGACAAGTTTCTTTACTCAAGCTGTCCATCTACTGAATGAAACCCCTGCTAGAGGCAAATGTAGTGTTGGTGTATTTACACACTGACACAACTGAGGATTAAAGTGGACATTTCTCTTGTGAAACATTTATTGATTAAAAAAAAAAGAATAGATGCCTTAAAACATAGACACCCCCATTATTATTATTATTATTATTATTATTATTTTATTCTTAATGTTCAGCAGGGTGGTAGTTAATTTAAGCTTAAGGAGAGGAATTTTACAAGGAATTTTGTGGTACTGTATGAGTCTACCTGGCAAGTTAGGAGGTTCCTCTAGGGGCGCTACTGATTACACGTAACTCCAGAACAGTGCCACAGAGAACGAGACGAGGGAGTGAGTGTACAGCAGCAATTTTCATGCTCTTTGAGTTAAAACAATTAAACCCCATTTTATTATCTCCTTACATTGCAGGTAACTACTGCACACCAGGGTGAGAATGTTCCCTATGTAGTTAGTGCATATATAATGAAGGTGATTTAGTGAAGGTTATTGCACCGAGTGCCAGATAGACACTGAACTGCGGAAGTGGTTTAGTGAATATCGCGAAGCACCATGAAAGTAAGTGCTGTTATCGCTGGTCGGCGAACAGGCAGGAAGCGGGGAAGGAGGAGGCAGGCAGGCGAGGATGCCGGAAACGGGGATTTATTAGGGGAACGACAGGGCAGACGGCAACAAACATCAATGACGAATCTGGGGAAAATGGACTCAGACGCGGACTAAATACACAGGACAAGCCGAAAATAACAGGCAACAGGTGATGATCACAATCGGGAATTAACACGAGGTAACTAGAGGGGCGTGGCACACAGGAGGATCGGACGAGCAGTGTCCCCCTCATGACAGTAAGCCAATTTAGTTTAGATTAAAATAATTTATAAGGATGTGCTGTTATAAAAGGGCATACTTAACAGGAACCATCATCACTTATTCGCCTGTCGGCAACTGGAGCAGTCTGGTATTATGCCTAAGATGTCTGCCATCGACCACATCATGACACTGAGGGTTCTCATCGAGTGCAAGCGTGAATAGAGGTTCTTTGCACCCTTTGTCAATGTTCATAAAGCATTTGACTCAGTTGATCAAGTTACCCTGTGGGACATCCTGAGATTTTGCAGGATCCCCCTGAAGTTGCTGGACGTCATGGCCAGCCTATATACTGGTACTGTGAGTGCTGTATAGAGTGGAGGGTGAACCTCTGTGTTCTTCCCAGTTGATTCTGGGGTTCGCCAGGGGTGTGTTCTTGCTCCTTCTCTGTTCCTACTCAGTTGTGGGGCATCTGTTGGTAAAGAAAGATTTACTGAACTTGCTGACGATGCTGTGATCCTTGCGGAGTCAAGGGAGGCTCTGAGGATCTCAAGAAACTGAGTGAGGAGTCTGAGTATCGGGGATTGCGGGTGTCCTGGATAAAGACAGAGATCCAAGCATTTAATGACTTCTTAGGCACAGCCATCAGTAGTGTGTCTGCCTGCAGGGAGAATGTCAACCTCGTCGAGAGATTCACTTACCTTGGCAGCGACATTCATGTCTCTGGTGACTCTTCTTATGAAGTCAGCAGACGGATTGGGAGAGCATGGGGGGGTTCATGAGGTCGCTGCAAGAGGACAACGGTCCATGTCTTTAGAGCCCTGGTGCTCCCTGTCTTGCTGTATGGCTATGAGACAGAGCCGCTGTCCAGTGAGCGGAGACGAAGACTGGACTCCTTCGGTACTGTGCCTCTTCCGTATTGCCATACAACTGTACTCCTTCTAGTATGTTATTGCTTAATTATTTGCTATTTTTATGTTTTTTTTTCCCCTATTTGATCTTTCTTTTTAAGCACAGACTAGGGAGCAGTGAGAGAAGCATTTCACTACGCTCTAAAAAACGCTGGGTTATAAACCACCAAACTGGGTTAACTGGCACCCTGGAGCTGGGAACATGTTGGACAGAACACATGCTGGATTATTTGACCCAGCTTCTTGGGTTATACAGTTGAACCGTCATGCTGGGTTGTTACAACTACCTAACAGTTAAATTTATCATTGGTACTGGATTGTTCATTTATTCCTTCTATTATTATTAAATACATATTAATATCATATTTAATAGATGTATATGATTATAAAATATAATCACTTGACCAACACTAAATGTTGTTGTAAATATTGCTGTTGACAGAGTTAAGTTTCACAGCATTAATATCTACTGAACTTTGGTGTCAACCTGTCAGTTTTTAGTAAGAACATAAGAACATATTACATGATAATTACCCCCTGACAATACGATATCTCTTAGCTCAGTTAACTACCTAGCTAGTTTACATTAACTAACAGGTATCTGACAGCAGATGAAAGATGGGGGGAGAGGGGGCACAACTTCATTATTTAAATGCAGGGGAGGTGGTATATGTCCCATATGTCCCACCCACTCCCCGGTTCCTAAGCCCCTGTGTGATACATTTGTAAATTTTTTGCAATATTATCAGCCCAAGCTGTAACCTACCTCTCTGTGAGTTTTGGAGCCAAACAGAAATGTGATAGTTTCTTCTGCTGTGTCTGATCCAGGGTTTCATACATATAATTCAATACTAAAGGACAGTGAGAATTCTCCTGTATCATCAAAAAATGACTTGCAGGGTAGTCAAAGCAACAATTTCTACCTGTAGTGGATGTATAAAAAAAGCTGTCAATCTGTGTGTCACACTTTCACCTTTAACTGAGTTAAACTTGAAATAAACAAATAAATAAATGAATGAACAAATCGCTCACATAAATAAATAAACAAATTAACTTTCAATATATACTTTTCTCTCTTTAAATAGAATTCAATAATTTCTGACTTCTCTTTCAGATTAAATGTCTGTCAGTCATACCCAGGTTTACCAGAAAAGCTTGTTTGTGAGAGTGACAACACTGTCTGCTTAGTTACTGTGCCTCTGTGTTATTTACATTCAAACCAAACACCTTAAGATCAAACAGGTTCTATTTTCCACTTTCTACTGTCTTCCACATTCCATTATTTACCTCCATACCATAGATAAATTTGACACATTGTGACATAAATGCTCTACAGTGAAATATATGACAGTGAAATATAATAGAAAAACAGTATTGAAAACACAAAATCAAATTATCACATGAAATGAAACAGGTATGGGCAGTTTTGTAAAATTCTGTAAAGTTATATGCATGGGGGCATTTTTTGTGTGTGTGGGTGGGTGAATTCTGAGATTAATGCCTATTTGACTTGGCACATGCCTACATATTTTTTTGTATCTACCTTGTGCTCATTCCATCAACGTTACATTCCTCTGATCTTATCAGACATTCTGTCATGATCCGATTGTCCGCTTCTCCCGTGTGTCACGCCCCCTCATCTACTCCATGTGGATTCCCCGTGTTTCTTATTGTTGTCATTAGTCCTATGTATATAAGTCTGCGTTAGGTATGTTTCCCTAAGGATGATCCGGCTCACAGGATCCTCATTGCTGGGCACCCAAGTGGCTGGACCAGGCTAAGGGGACGCCCACATAACATCTGGCTGCGGCAGACGGATGGCCATTTCCGAAGGGTAGGACTGGACCGTTTATCTGCCTGGGGAATCTCCGGCTGGGATCATGAGGAGTCTCGCTGTGTGGTGGGTGCGGCAACGCGCTGCATTAGTGCATGCTCCCCAACCTGACCTAACCAGATACCATACAAACATCTGACAAAAAGATTTACAAACACTGAAGTAACAAACTTTGTGAAAACCAATACTTGTGTCATTCTCAAAACCTTTGGCCGCGACTGTAGATTCCAGGTGGTAAACACGTGCCGTTTATCAAATAATTGTTTTGTAACAAAAACTGCTTTATGTAAAATGCTTCCTTGCCTCTTTACTAAACAAAATATGTTCAATTGTTTCTTAATGGAACTGAAATGCCCAATATTAAAATATACTGAAGAGTCAAAACATAACTACCCCCACATGATGCAAATATCATTTACTACCTTGTTAAAAATAGCTCATGTCTTTAGATGGTAAGCCAACATTTCATAGTCAGTAGTGATGGGGATGACACCACGCATACTGAGTTTGATTCAAGACGAAGACCTTGAAGGACAGAGTCAGAGTCAAGACCAAGACTTTGCAGGGGTGAAGACTAAGTGAAGAGTGAGACTTTTTTTGGGGGGGGAGATCAAAACAAAGTCAAGACAGAGCAGAAACAAATCAAGTCTGCTTTCAGACCAAGGTTTTAATCATACATATTTACTATCTCCACCCTACGGGAGAGCTACTGTAGCACAAATTGCGGAAAATGTTAATGCTGGCTATGATGGAATAGTGTCAGAACACGCAGTGCATTGTGGCTTGATGTGTGTGGGGCTGCATAACTCCATACTGGTCAGAGTGCCCATGCTGACCCTTGTCCATTGGCAAAAGCACCAGTAATGGGCAGGTGAGTGTCAGAACTGGACCATGGAATAGTGGAAGAAGATGGTCTGGTCTGATGAGTCACATTTGCTGTTACATCATGTGGACTACTTTGTGTGTGTCAATTATTCTTACTTCCTCCCTCACCCCTTCTGGGGTGTGCTCCATGGAGCACAATGTCGTTGAAGAGTTTATGCTTCTGCGGCCTGCAAGACAACTACCTCAACCTCCGGCAACTACCCTACAACCTGCCTGCCCTTGGCTCAACACCATGCCTCGCCATCCATCCTGCGGCTGTGTGTCTATTAATCCTGCCATCGTGCATCAAGCACCACGTGCCTGCACCGGTCGGCCGCTGCATTGAGACATATATTTCAACCCCTGTATTAGCTTAGTCATTTCATCTTGTCTGTATTAGCTTAGTCATTTCATCTTGTTTGTTTGACTCATCTGCCGGCCCCTGGAGGATGGGCTCCCCCTTTGGGTCTGGTTCCTCCCAAGGTTTCTTCCTCTTAGGGAGTTTAAAACTAGTAAACACAAATGAAAAAATGAATGCCGAAAAAACTTTAATTAGGCTCCTAAAGACATGCATAACGTACCTTTCCACCTCATTTGTTTTAAGTATTTTTGAGCCATTTGCAGTTCAGTTTGAATATCTTCCAAGCGAGGATACGCAAGTGTCGAATGCTTAAAATACCATGCAATTTTTCTCCCTCTGGCAGCAGCGTCACTTACACTTCGCTGCAATCGCAGCGCTCGTGTATCACAAACTGTATCGAGTGCGCACAACAGCCCAAGCTAGCGACTCCCAAATCATCCGCTGCTTTTTCCCTATTACATTGTCTCACACAATTGCGTGTGCATTGTTTAGTGGGATATTCTACTACACGCTACTTCCACCTCTCATAACTTTGTTTTTACTGCTGTGGTACTAGTTGTTGTTAAAAGCGTAAAATGCTTCCAAATTGTCACGCCCTTATCTGATGTTCTTAGGCTCTTCGTACTGCAAGGGCATACAAGGACGGAAGTCGCCGTGCTCACACCAACTGAGTGGCAAAAAAACTGAGTGGCAGCGTTAGCGTTCAGCTTGAATGCAAGTCGTTTCGAAAATGGGAAAGAGCTGTCCTGCAAATGATTTTACAAATTGATATTTCATGTTATAAAGAAAAAGCTCTTGAATTATCTGAAACCCATGGAAATTCTTCAGGTGCAAAATGCTACAATATTATTAAATATTATTGGCTGCTGTTTTTATATAAATTCCAAAACATTTAGTCCTATACTCCCTTTCTCCTCCTACTTCAATCTCCTTCTAATGCAAAGGCAGTGCACAAAAATATACATGTACTCAATTTAAATACATTAATGATTAAAATAAATGATTTATAACTATATATTGTTATTACAGTCAATACATTGGCGTTCCTCTATCATAATATAAGTTATCCTCCAATATTGTAAAAATGAAAATCACACTGACATCAAAGTTTCCTCATCATGCATCACGTTCCCAGAGGAGAACATGTAGCATGACCAGGGACAGAAGGAAAAGTCTGTCTGCAGTCATTAGTGGTGATGAAGCTGAAGCCTGGGTCATGATACTTCTACCATTGGGCACCTGAGTACTTCGGTAGGTATTGGTCATCAGCACGGGGTCAGAGGTGTATAGCGACGTGCTGAAAAGGTCAATCTATGAGCACAAACAGAAACAGTGGTGTATTATGCACTGAACAATTACAATATTTCCAGGAGGTACATAATTGTATAAATTTCGCTGTATAAATTCAGCTGCAAAGGTGCCTAACTAGTGAATTTTAAATAATTATCTTAACACCTCTATGTTCATTAATTTGCTCTGTATGTGTGTATGTCTGTGTATGTGTATGGTATAACCTAACCAGACATATGCATTGCATTTTAATATACCCAATGGAAGCAAAAATCTGCAACTATAATAGAACAGGTACCAGATATATTAATTTCATGAGGTAATACCTACCAAATTCTTGCTAACTTTGACTGGATCCTTGAATACAGTCCAAATCACAACCTCGTTGCAATTGGGGGTAGTCAGGGAGCCCAAATAACGGTAATACTTTGTACGGTTCACCCCCACCAGGAGATCATCAAGTGAAAATTGCTGAGTAATGTTTGCCTTTTGGCCTGAGGAACAGTGGGTGGGAAATAACTTTACTGATACTTCTGCCACCAGATTTGTCCACATAGGATATGGAAACTGCTTTGATGGTAAATTTATATATTAAATTTTGTGTGAAATTTAAGAATTATAGTGAAAGGCAAGAGTGAAAGATAAGAATAAATGTACAGGATCAACCTTAGACAGCCCTTTTAAAAAATGCGCTAAAACTGGTTTCATTCTAAGACTCACCACTGTTTGTAACATTGGGCAGGTATGATGTCAAGATTTTCCAGCTCTCTGGCAGGGAACTGTCATTTTTTTTCTAACACAACAAAAAAAAGTCAGGGTATGATTTTCAAAAGTCACACACTATTATGTCGATAAACCTTGTATCGCTCACCTCTATTAAGAAGCCCAAAGCTGCCAGACCTTCAGGGTCTGTGAGGGCAAGGGTTGTGTTGCCTTTGTATTCAGACTTTACAGTCACGATATGTAACTGAGGGAAATGGAGGAGTAACAGTGTCAAATCAGCCTACAGCACAATTAAGACCAATCCAACATGGCACAACGAACAGTTTCATTACCTCCATGGGGTATTGCTTGCCATCCACAGTGTGCTCTGATCCTGGAACATCACTGCCATTGCCCCAGTGCAGATGGAACTGTTGGGCATCGTAGGTCCCAGGGAGCCCCCCACCGCTGATCTTCACAAGCCCGTCTCCTAATGTTACCTTCACTAAGGGTGGAGAGAGAGGAGAGCCAACACATGTGCATATTATTTGGATACACGTCAGCCCACTATCAACCAGTGTTTCCAGGGAATAGCCCACCTGTATGGCCTGTGTTCTCTATTGTCGTCATAGTGTTTCTGTTACTAAAGCCAGTGAAGTTGAAGGCTATCAGACTTGAGTTCCCTTTAACACTGGTGGTGTTGATATTGAGGGGCGATTGCCGTGTTCCATTACAGAAGCCCAGTGGTTCTGAGACCCAGACATTTTCATCTAAAGAATATGCAAAAAAAAAACTAAATCAGGTACATTCATCCACGTTCTGCAACCACTTGTCTCATTCAGGGTCGTGGAGGATCCAGAGCCTATCTTGAAGGCTATGGGTGAACAAAGCAGGGAAAAACCCAGGATGGGACACCAACGCATTGCAAAGCATACTCACACATGCACACCTAGGGGCAATTTTGGTAACTCCACTTAACCTCTGCATGTTTTTGGACTGTGGGGGGGAAGGGGTGGGTGGACTGGAGTATCCTGAGGAATCCCCACAACTACATGGGGAGAACATGTAAACTGCACACACTGAACCTGATGGAGACTTTACCCCTGGTCCTGGCAGCGTGAGGCAATAGTGCTAACCACTGCACCACTGTGCTCCCCTAAGTGCAAATTCATTATTTAAAAGAAAAAAAGAACATTGAAGGAAAACACCACACTTGACGTTGTGGACAGGAGGCCAGTCCATGACAGGGCATATACAGTCACACACACAATTTAAAGACCTAATTCACCAAACTGCATGCTTTTGGACAGTGCGACCAGAGCAGCACAAGGAGAACATACCATGCAAATTCAGTTTTTGGAAAACAAAAAAATCAACTCAAAATACAACCAATTAAGATATTACATATGAGATGTAATACAAAAATACTGTTAATATGGGTCACAAGGATAACTCAAATGTCGTCTAACTGGTGCAACATAAACGTGGTACTCTTATTGGCATTTAAAATGAACGTTGCGTTGCATTGCACAGACCAGTGTAAGTAGTGCCATTACTTATAGGCATTGCCATTTATTTGGGAGAATGCGTAAATAAATGGTACTTACTGCATGATGCATTATTGTAACACCAGTCTGAAAGGAAGACGCATTATTCATTCGATTTTGACATATAAAAATATTTATTATGCAAATATGACAACTATATGTAAAGAAAGATTCAATTAGGAAAATGGTTACGCTTACGTATTTGGCCAGATTCTCCGTGTACTAAGGCCACCAACACAGACCCCAAAATGAACATCGTGTCAAGTGGAGTATTCATCTGAAAAATGATACGGGAAACCCCTCATTAGAAGTGCTTTCAATGCATTAGTGACGGTGAAACTACAGAACCATTTCGTTAATCATGTTCTCCGTGTGAAAGACAATAACACAGGCAGGATGTCAGTCCATACAGGGATACACGTTTTCGCTTACACATGTTAAGGTTACACAAGTGTCCCACTTTCCAATAAAGATAAAATGGATTTCTCACATGAAAAACCAGTTAATAATAATTTAATTTGATAATTTGATTTCCATACAGTTATTCATGCGTTAATCCGTTAGGTCTATTTACTAAATATCTGTAGTGGTTCGTTTATAAAATTAATAATAACAACAATTATTATTATTATTATTATTAATTTATATAATAATAATAATAATTATTATTATTATTATTATTATTGAAACTCAAATAACGATAAATAGTATACAGGCACACACAATTCCAGTCGAAGCCTTTTTACTTTATTGTATTATTATCATCATTGTATTAATAAACAACCGTTTATGCATACAAGCAACCTAGAAATTAAAGCCGAACATAATAATAAGCCTATATAAATATGTAGAAGTCAGCACAAGAAACTAATAGTAAAAGTGAGTAAACATACCTTTACGCGTTTCCTTTCAGAGTAATTTTTCACTCAGAAACTTCGTAAGTTCTTCCTCTTATATACAGCTATTCAGTGATGTTATCTTATACTGCCACGTGCCATTCTCCTTCCCCCGTGAGTAAAGTAACAGCGTAACACCTGAAGTATTATGCCACCGCTGACAAGAATTCGCCGAGCCTAAACAGGTTCTTTAACGTGTTGCTACTTTAATGCTAGGAAGATGTAGTGCTGCTCTCGTGTTCCGATAGCCAAATTTGGCACAATGTTTTTTGTGTTGAACGTCTCCTGAATTTAATTCTACTTGTGTTTATTAATTTATTTGTGCATATAGAACTGGAAATGATATACCTGTACTGTTACTGTCCTAATATTTTGCCAAAATTACATATTCAGGTGAAATAAATGGGAAAAAAGTCAATGTATATTATTTAGCCTATCATTATCTTGGCAAGTTTCCCCATTTTAGCAGGGCCCCCTAGAGGGCAGTGTCTGGTGTTGCGGCACCAGTTGCAGCACCCTAAATATGGACATGTCTCTGCCATTCATACTCAAATCAGTGGCCTTGATGAGTTTTAAAATCCATCCATCCATGTAAAAATGTTAAAAACAATCTGCATTATCTTGTATCACTGCAAACAGTATATTTATAGGCTAACAACAAACCCCTCTTAACGGCATAGCTTACTCATCTGCCTTCCATCACTTTCGGTGTATCTTGATAATGAACCTGGGTGGCTTGATCCATCCATGCTGTATTGGTGCCAGAATATCTGACACCCAGGCCCTAGTGGGTCACAGTGGAATTACCAGGATGCTGTCCTGAGGTGGGCAATTGGGTATATTGGGTGGACACCAGTATTTGAATTGTGCCTCAGGCAACATAGGCCACAACGCAGGAATACACCTGGGTGCCAGTCCATTTCAAGACAATTGAAGAGAAAATGTCCAAAAATCACTCAGTCCATGGACTTGGTTTTGGAAATTTAACAACAGTTCTTCGTTGGATTTCAGGAGGACTGAGTTTCGGTTCCCAAAACTGTAACATATAATGTAAGTAATGTGTGGTTTCATTATTAAGAACCATTGTGTTTAACACTGAGTTATTATTTGAATTACTGCAGCCTTCCTCTCAGCTTGATCCAGTGTGGGCAGTCCCCTCTGTGTGAGTCACACCTCTTTTTTTTAACTGATTAATTGTAAAGGAAGCACACGTTTACTGTCATATGATGCACTGATATGCCTGACAGGATGACAGACATTCCTATGCCACATGATTTAAGACGAAGACAGGATTTCTCAAGCAAGACGGTGGCAGGAAGAAAGTTATCTTCCTGATACCTGCAATACACAATCTTCCTTAGACATACCACCCCTCGTGCTCACTTACCACTTCAATCTACTCTATTATCTTCCCTCTTTGTTAAACAGCATTTTTCTGACACTGTCTGACCACAACAGATGTCATGGCTGAGTTTCCATTCCTTTCTATTGTATGTTTATATTGTATGAGTTGGGTCAGCCCAGATACATGTCACCCTTTTCTAAACATATAATGTGCTAATCCTGATGTTCTGATACAATATGAGTTCTAAAATGACCATTCACTATTAGCTTCTCAATGTTCCCATTCTGAGCTATGCCATATACAGAAACATTACATTTTATTCACTTATTGTAAAAAAGTACACCTTGTGCTACAAATACAAAGATTTCCAAATATTAGCTACTGAATATTATGTTAAATATTAGATAAATTCTATGACATGATTTACTGTACATCAGAGAGTTTTAGCTAGAAGTTTCACACGAGAAAATTTGCGATGTGATAACGAACACAAGCTCCAGACATTTAGCAGATGGGTTATACAAGCTAAACCAATACTTCACATCATTGTAAAGTGCAGGAAATATTCACTTGCATTCTCTATCCAATTCAGCATTTGTTAAAATTATTACTGGCAGAAATTTACTCCTGGCAATATACTGGGAACATTGTAATAGACAGATGGTCTTTACATCTTGCCAAAAACTTCAGATCAGTTAGTGCTTTTTTTCCTCCCTCCTTTTTATAGTTACTGTGGCAGACACTACCAGGCCTTGGAGAATGGATGGTCTGACCTGTGTAATGTGCCCTGTTGGACTTAATTCGACGTCCATCCATCTACCAACTGCTTACTCAGTACAAGGTCATGGGCGGTGTGATTAAGGTATCACAGGAAACAAGACAGGGCAACTTGCTAAGTATAATGCCCTTCCATCACAGGGCTCTTACACACTATGGGCAATGGTGAAAGAAAGGGAGATCCATGGGGACAGCTTGTTAATCACATACATGTAGAGCAGTCTGCATTTGAACCCCTTATCCTTGGCAGGTCTGCAACTCACTAAATTGAATTTTGAATTTAGTGATTAATTGTCATTGTTAACACACCACAGCAAAATGTGTTCTCTGCATTTAACCCATATGTGACACAGCAGGGGGCAGCTAATTCAGCACCCAGGGAGCAGTGCTTGGGGGCGGTACCTTGTTCAGGGTACCTCAGTGGTGCCTTGCTGGTCAAGGATTCGAACCAACAATCTTTCAATTGTGAGTGCACTTCCCTAACCATTAAACTACCACTGCCCACAAAAAGAAAAAAAAAACTGGGGACAAGCACTGACCCACCATGCTAACCAGAGTACTTGTTATTGTTTCTATGATTCAATTTTGATTTTGCAAGACGGAAATAATCTGAAGTGTTACTGTGATACGATTTGTTTCAGTAATACATGATCAATATTTTCAATATAGTGAAACATAAGCTGATTTTAGTGGAATTTATTTATATTCAAAAAGACTTAACAATAAATGTTTCATTTTTCATTTTAACAACAGAATGATGAAAACAACTATACAAAGAACTTTAAAAAGAAGTCTCAAAACTACAAAAATGACTGAACAAGAAACATTATGTCTTGTATTTATACTATAACAAAAAAAAACAATTTATATATATATATAGCTTACTCTCTGAAAAGATATTGGTCTAATCTAGATAAAAAATACTGTAATGTATTTGCAACTATTCTGTTCTTTACAGAGTCTACTCTGTACTCTGTACCAAGTCTTTAGACTGCTTTATTTTGGCATACTGTCATCGTTTAAAGATATGAATTGATATTTCTTAATTGAGTCAAATCGTATGGTGGCCTTAAGAATTGAGTTATCGATTAGAATCGATTAATAGTTACATCCCTATTGCATGAGTAGACTTGAATATATATATATTTTTAGTTGATCATTTTTTTCCTTTTTTCAAGCTACATCATTGGTAAAGATCTGGGTTGGGTAAAATGTGAGATGGAGACCATAGTATGTCTGCGTGCATGTATAGTGTTCTCATGCATACATACAAACTGTACTACATTAACAGTCCAGTATGTACTGAGTGAGTATGTGATTTCAAATGCACTACAGTTTACACTGAGTATTTTTCTTATTGTATAGAGTTTTTGAACATACTGTACTTTATCTGTAATGTCTACAGTTATGTGAAGAAAGGACAAGGAATCATCATTACCACTTTTAATAACAAATAATGGTACTTCTACTGATGTTTGAATCTTATTTATTATTTCATTATCAATTCAAATGATCAGATTTATTCAAACAGATGTATGGCAATATGATTATTTAGAAAATCACTGAAGATCAAAACAGTATTTTCTCTGGTCATAACACATTCATGATCTATATAAGACTAAACTTAAACATATTTTAGCATTTTAACAGACAAATAACACTTGATAAAGTTGTGTATAGATATTCCGGATTTAAAAAATGATTTTCTTCTATTTCCACTCCACCCTGTGAGTCGTCCATTTCTTTGTTTTTTCCTGTCCTTTACCGCCACCCCCCTGCATACACTATACTTTCTGGTTTCAGTCGTGAGCCCTCACCTTCTTGGCTGATTTTAATTTTTTTTCTGGACACCAGCCAGTGCCCCCTGTTATATTTCCTGTTATCCTTTCTTACTGGCTGACATGGACCCCCAGCCTGCAAGCAGAAGGTTAAGGAGCAGCAGAAGTGGCCATGGAGCGGCAAAGGTGGGTGCGGCACTGATGTAGACCTTGCGCTTGTGGAGACACTGCTGGGGGCGATAGACTTCATTAAAGCCCATCTTAGCTGGGAACATCTTCACCTGAGGGAGGAGAAAAGGCAAAGCATAAACATAGCTGATTTAGGGTTACTCCTATAAGTACGACGTGAAGATTTTCAGGATTTAAGCAATTCTTATAAAAAGTGTACACTATAGTGTTATATAAGTCTTTAATACTACTATTTAGTAACTTAAGTCTCTACCACAGTTTAAGCAAGTTACATATTTTATTGAGAAG